ACATCACAACTCTCCAATAACTCTTGTCTGAGAGAGCCCCTCCCACCTGCTGGGAGTGACGCTGTGCATTGTGATCCCGGGTGGAGAGTGCCTCCTCCAGCCATTGCTGTGTCCCTTGAGCTGATGGCTTCCTGTGTTGGCATTGAGCATCATGACTGCATTATATTGAGTTTGTATTGAATTGTACTCTAGATCGTTGTTCAAGATATTCTAGCCATGGCTTACTCAGTAATGCATTCATGCATTCAGTAACTGTTTATTGAGTATCCCATACCAGGCATACCAGGATCCCAAGTACTGTGTGAGTAGTCATTGCCCCACAGGAGTTACAGTCCTTGGGGGGACAGTTAGGAGAGAAGTGATGCTGCTGTACTAAGTATTGTGGAAGGAGAGGGGAAGAAGAGACTGACTCCATGGAGAGAACTAGGTGGAGGAGTGGCGCATTTGGCAGTGGTCTGGAATTGTTTTTTTTTTTTGAGACAGAGTCTCGTTTTGTTGCCCAGGCTAGAGTGAGTGCCGTGGCGTCAGCCTAGCACACAGCAACCTCAAACTCCTGGGCTCAAGCAATCCTGCTGCCTTAGCCTCCCCAGTTAGCTGGGACTCCAGGCATGCACCACCATGCCAGGCTAATTTTTTCTATATATATTAGTTGGCCAATTAATTTCTTTCTATTTATAGTAGACACGGGGTCTCACTCTTGCTCAGGCTGGTTTCGAACTCCTGACCTCGAGCAATCCGCCTGCCTTGGCCTCCCCGAGTGCTAGGATTACAGGCGTGAGCCACCACGCCTGGCCTGGAATTGTTGACTGAATGCCCTTGGGGATGAATTGGAATGGAGGGGCCAATTGGCTTAGGTTTCCATGATGACTAAAGATAATTTAGTCTCCTGTCAAAGAAGGTTTTTGCCATCAGGTATAAATGGACACCTTTAGCTCTTGCTGTTCCCATATGTCTCAGCCTGGCTTTTTGAGAATTGGACACAGTGCAAGGGACTGAGAGGGTCCTTAAGTCAAAGGCTGGATAATTTGTGGCTTTCTCTAATAGAAGCTTTGAGTCTATTCTGATTTCAGATACTTTGTTATTTTTTTTTATTTAAGACTTTTCTATTTATTTATTTAGAGACAGGGTCTTCCTCTGGTATTCAGGCTGGAGTACAGTGGCCTGATTAAAGCTCACTACAGCCTTGAACTCCTGGGCTCAAGCAACCCTCCTGCCTCTGACTCCCATGTAGCTAAGACTACAGATGTGTACCACCACATCTGGATAATTTTTTTAAAAAAATTTTTGTAGAGATATGGGTCTCGCTATGTTGCCAAGGCTGGTCTTGAATTCCTGGGCTCAAACTATCCTCCTGCCTTGGCCTCCCAAAGTGCTGGGATTATAGGTGTGAGCCACTTTGCCTGGCCCTGATTTCAGATACTTTTATTCAACAGCAGTATCCCTCCTTGTAGTATTCCTTAAATACAATGTGGTTAACTGTTCAGCCTGTAGAATAGAATTATCATTCTCACCTTCTTTAACTTTTTAACCTCCTCAACCCGGTTTTACTCCCTGGTTGAAGAATCTCTTTAGTCTGAAAAGACACCAATGATTTCCATTTGGAAGTACGTGCTGGGAAATACTGTTACGATGTTCCGCTGGAAGGAATATGTCTCAGGTGTCATCTCAGAAGTCTGGGAAAACCCACTTACGTTGAACGTGGGCTGGCTGGGTTAGAGTCTTCTGGAAACTTCTTGGAGGAGGTGGGAAGAAAGGGGTGAGACGTTCCTCTTCCCACTGGGTGAGTCAGAATTATTCATTTGGATTGAGCAGGGGAAGTAGAGTTTTCTGAGATTCCGAACTTAACTTGGGTAGCCCTAAAACATGTGCTCCACTGTTGAAGACGCTCCTGGGTCAAACCATCATTCCTTCAGGTCCCAGAGCCCCTGAGTTCTGAGGTGAAAGCTGGCTGGAAGGTGTCCGTACACCCTGCACCTTGGAGCACCTGAAAGCCAGCATTTAAACTGTAGGCAGAAACTACCAAGCAGTGGGTTCCCCAGTGGGAAGGGCTTCCTATATTAGATAGTCTCCATATATAAAAATGCCTGTCAAAGATGACATGTGGCCAGGAAGCCAAGATGAAAGAAATCTTAATTGAGTAATTTCATCTATAAAGTTACTAGAGGTTTTCTAATGGGTCCCAAATATGATCACTTAAGACAGGGGTCCTCAAACTTTTTAAACAGGGGGCCAGTTCACTGGCCCTCAGACCGTTGGAGGGCCGGACTATAGTTAAAAAAAAAAAAACTGTGAACAGGCTGGGGCGTTGTGGCTCACGCCTGTAATCCTAGTACTCTGGGAGTCTGAGGCGGGTGGATTGCTCAAGGTTAGGAGTTCAAAACCAGCCTGAGCAAGAGCGAGACTCCGTCTCTACTATAAATAGAAAGAAATTAATTGGCCAACTAAATATATATATATATATATATATAAGAAAATTAGCCGGGCATGGTGGTGCATGCCTGTAGTCCCAGTTACTCTGGAGGCTGAGGCAAAAAGATTGCTTGAGTCCAGGAGTTTGAGGTTGGTGTGAGCTAAGCTGACGCCATGGTACTCTAGCCCGGGCAACAAAAGTGAGACTCTGTCTCAAAAAAAAAAAAAAAAAAAAGACTACGAACAAATTTCTTTCGCACTGCACATATCTTATTTGAAGTAAAAACAAACAGGCGCCGGGCACTGTGGCTCACGCTGTATCCTAGCTCTGTGGGAGGCCGAGGCGGGCGATTGCTCAGGTCAGGAGTTCAAACCAGCCTGAGCGAGACCCGTTCTTCTATAAATAGAAAAATTAATTGCCAACTGATATATATATAAAAATTAGCCGGCATGGTGGCGCATGCCTGTAGTCCCAGCTACTCGGGAGGCTGAGGCAGAAGGTCACTCGAGCCCAGGAGTTTGAGGTTGCTGTGAGCTAGGCTGACGCACGGCACTACTGTAGCCTGGCAACAAGCGAGACTCTGTCTCAAAAAAAAACAACAACAACAACAACAAAAAAAACAGGCAAAAACACCCGCATGTGGCCCACGGGGCCGTAGTTTGAGGACGCCTGATTAAGAGCTATGTCACAACAGTGGCTGTGGGAACTTTGTAGTGTTCAGAGCAACCCCGGTTGATCTTCTCAATACCCTTGGGAGGTGTTACCTCAGGTCGTCTCCATTGGCCCTCGGCCCCACACTGGGAGAAACTGTATGGCTACTTCAAGGTCACACAACCAGAAAGTGGCACAGTCCAGACTCTAACACTGGAGGATTTCTGGGTGAGGCACCTTTAAAGAGGGCTTTTCAAGGCAGTATCCTCTGTGCAAGTTCCAGTGCTACGAACTTGAGCTTAGAATAACTATGGAATAAATGGCCTACAGGTTTTGAATGCTGTTTGGTGGTAAAGCCCACAGATTTACACTTTTTTTTTTTGGAGGACATTGAGACCTAGAGACTTTTGGTGACTGGCAAAAGTGCTGGAGGTGTTGAGATTGTGGAAACGGAAGGGGAAACGACAGAGGGTGTGGGGACCCTGGCTCCCTCAGAGCCATTTGCTGGGAGTCAAATCCAGTCTTTCTAACTTCTGCACCAGGGTTCTTTAGAGATACCAAGCTAACAGGGTTAGCAAAATCTGAAGCTCAGTTTCTGTGACTGTTTCCCTAATGATTTGTAGATATTTGTTTGTTTGACAAATATTCCCTGAGCACCTCCTTTCTGCCCATACTGTGTGAGGGATAAAGCAGTGAATAGGAGGAACACCGTCTCTCCTTTCAGGGGCTGTTGTCTGGCTTTGGAAACTCCTCACTCTGGCAAAATCAGTAGCACAGTGTTTACCTTTGGGCTATCTCTGCACATTAGTAATTGCCATTTAAACGATTCATAGTGCATAATGGCCCTTTTAACTTTCTTCAGTAAAAAAGAATCCCAAAATATTTGAATAAAGTTTTTTTTGTCTTCTGCAAAGTTACTGGTTTTTTTTTCTTTCATAATTAATGCTTTGTAGATAGATAATTTGAGATTGTGTAAATATCTCATCAAACTTTCACTCACTAGTTTTATCTTCCATTGAAAAATTTCTAACCCCATGTTCCTTTTCTAAGAGCTTCCCCTTCTAGCCCCCATTTATATCTCAGTAAGGATTCATGGATTCTTATTCAGTGGATTATGATTCATTGCTGTCATTATTTGGAGGTTTAAATTATGCCAGATTTGTCTAATGGGACCCGTTCATGCCGGCTCCTTTGTTCTTTGGACACGTCCTCATGATTCCTTGAATGTTTCCTTATTTTATGGTGCAAGAAGATGTTTATGGCCCATCTTGTACTTTCTCTGCCCCAGTGTTGGAATCAGCTATTTCTTGAGGAGCCTGCTTCCTTTTGTGGGCAATTGTATTAGAAACCAAGATCTGAGCACTGGAGTGCTCTCAGCCTCTGGTGTGTCATTGTTTCCAGGGCCTCTCAGCAGATAGAGCTGGAGAGTGTGTGTATGTGTGTGTGTGTGTGTAAACACATATTTAATTTTTTTCTGTAGCTCTATATATTTAAAATGTAGGTTTATGCTAGACACTGTGGCTCATGCTTGTAATTCCAGCACTTTTGGAGGCAAAGGCAGGAGGATTGCTTGAGTCCAGGAGTTCAAGACCAGCCTGGGCAACACAGTGCAACTCCCATCTCTACCAAAAAAAAAATTAACTGGTCATTGTGGTGCATGCCTGTAGTCCCAGCTATTCAGGAGGCTGAGGTGGGAGGATCGCTTGCACCCAGGAGATTGTGCCAGTGCACCCCAGCCTGGGCAACACAGTGAGACCCTGTCTCTTAAAAAAAAAAACAAAAAAAAACCAAAAAAGGTTTTAACATGTACATCTTATGTATTATCAATAAAAAAGTAAAATGTAGATTTTTATAATACCCATGGAAGTAGGATTCTACTTAAATGCAAATGTGTAATTTCAGATATATGTCACTCTCCTTTTCTCTTAATTTTTAACAGGTGGCTCAATCCCTTGTTTAAAATTGGTCATAAACAGAGATTAGAAGAAGATGATATGTACTCAGTGCTCCCTGAAGATCGCTCCAAGCACCTAGGGGAAGAGCTGCAAGGGTAAGCAAGAGGCAGTGAAGAGAAGGGTAAGGAAGAGTGAGATTCCTCAGTGTGTCTGGAATGGGGTTTGCCTTTCTGAGCCCCTTGCCTTCCATCGGACCCTTCTGAAGCCTGCCTGCCTTAACATTCCACCCCTTAACATTCCACTGCACATTAACTCCTCTCAGGCTGTCCCCAGGCCTAGCAGACCTTCGTGGCCTGGGGGAAACCTGTGTTTCCTGTGCCCTGGTAGAAGCAGAGCAAAGCCCTGGATGCCTGAGGTCTGTCCCCAGAGATGGGGTCACAGAGGAGGTTGTCTGGCCTGGCTGTTCTAGTAACCGTACCGTGAGTCTAGCCAGGCTTGGCAGTCACTTGCTTCCTGAGACTGCAGGCTTCCCCTCGAGGCCTGTTTTTCTGCGGCTAAACATTCTGCACCACGTAATATCTCAGGAGCTTTGTGAACAGTTAGCCAGCATTTGTGAGACATCCCTGTCTTCAGTGCTTACCTGTCACCTCCCCGTGTTTTACCCTGTGGCTGGGTACATTCTGACTTACCAAGCTTTCTACTTATTGTAGGTTCTGGGACAAAGAAGTTTCAAGAGCCAAGAGTAGTGCACAGAAGCCTTCTTTAACAAAAGCAATCATAAAGTGTTACTGGAAGTCCTATTTGATTTTGGGAATTGTCACGTTAATTGAGGTAAATGCTTTTTTACGTACCACCGTACGTAATTGTTTTTCATTATACATGGAGTAAACCTGCCAGCTATTGATCAGTATTGAAATAGATGGGGACCTGAGTTGAGAAGGAGCCAGATGGGGTTTAAGTGTATTTTGAGTTCTAAGGATAAAGCCTGTCTAGGAAGCAGGATGTAGCTTAGCAATTGTATTTATCTGGGTAAATACTTAGGTGACTGAATCTCAAAAGCATTATTGTTTCTCTTTTAAGCAGTTAAAATATAGTATTGTAGAAGGACAGCACTGAAAAGAAAAGGCATTTTTATACCCTGCGGGACAGTGTTGATGCTCAGTAAATGTTATAAATGCTAACAATCATGCTTGATCAAACAAGGATCCTGCAACCTTAGGGAATATGTGCCCTGTGATTTGGAGAAAGTGAACTTGGATCAGAGCCCAGACTAATAGGAGACATTTGACAGGTGCTCAGCAAATGATTGTCAACTAAGCTGTGCCAAATCTGATAAATGCTTTCTTGGGAAGGTATTGTCACCTCTCTCTTCTCTTCCCAGGGAAACATATCTCAGGGCCCTGCACCTGGGGTGGCTGTGGTGCCCCAGAGGCTGGAGCTGGCTGAGTGCTCATGAGTGGGTGAGTGCCCACGAGCTGCCCCTTCCACGAAGGCCAGTGCTCTGAGCCAAAGCCCCCTCTATGGAGGAGGTCCGACTCTACGGGGACTCCCAGGGAATTCATGCATCACCTATTCTGGTGTCGTGTCCTTGGCTGTTAGAGTGGATTGCTGGGGGGATGTTGGTGCCTGGCATTGCAGAGAGCATAGAAGTGGATGTCCAGTGGAAAACCAAAGGCAGAAAGGAGGGCCGTGAGCTCATTACCCTGAAGGGCCTCTGTTGAGGCCTGCAGTAAGACAGCATTCTGCCCAGGGGTGCCAGGCAGCCGCCTTGCTGAAAGGGATGCCGAAAATCCAGCCAGGTGGCTTGTGCCCTCTGTGGTATCTTAGTGCTGCCTTAGGGACATGGGTGGTCCTGTTGTGAGTACATGATAGTAGCAGGGATAGAAATTGCTGTTGCTACAAATAAGGGGCTTTAAATGCAGGAAGGTGGGGAGTGGACACAGCGCATTTTGCTGGGGGCGAGGTGAGTGGGCCGGTGGGTTAGCACGTGGGAGGTCCAGTTCCTGGTTAACGTGCTCTGTGCGTGCACACCTTGGGCAGTTGAGGCAGTTGATAGTGAGGTAGGTGAGTCCTGCACTGCGCCCCTGTTGAAAACAAGGGGATTGTGTCAGGTAACGGGGAGCTGGATGGTCTTGGAGGTGGATGTCCTCACTGGTGACAAAGGTGTGTTGGCTCAGGTGCCAGATGATTAGTGTCACCTTTGAGAGGGCACCTACCCACCCGCATCCTGCTGTGGCTTTGCAGATGGCAAGGTGGGGATGCAGACTAAGAAGTGGGGCTGACTTCTGACTTGGGGTGGGGAAGGGTGCAGCAATCCTCAGGCTCTCCCAGCCCATCTTTGCCCTGTGCTGGGGTGTCCTAGTGATGGGGTTTCTACATGGTCACAGTAAGTCTCAGTTTGAAATGAATAGGGTGACAAGCTGGTGTGGTTGTGGCCCGTGTGTGGGGGGTGTCCTGGCCAGGTGTGGTTGCGTGACCGCAGAGAGCAGGGCTCCCCGGGATCCTGCACATCAGGTGGCTGTGGAGCCTCACCATGCGCCTGTGGCCCGCGCCAGGTGTCTGGTTAGAAGTGGGCAGGAGTGAGTGTCCTCTCGTGGGTGTTGGGTCATCTCTTGGGGGCAGGCCTCCCTCTGCTGCCCCTGGTTCTCTACTTGCCCTTTGTCACCAGCTGCTTGAAGAGATTGAAAACTGGATCATCGCAGAGGAACTGAGCTAGAGGTCATCCCTGCTGTCATGGGCTGCCAGCAACTTGGGGTGGGGTCTCTAACCCCCAGAAGGTGACTAGCTCCCATCTCAGAATGAGCTGCGGGTCTTGCCGGGCAGACTCTTAGGGAGAAGGAGGCACAGAAGTAGAGGCTGCAGAAAGTGGGTTTTCTCCTGAGAAGAGGATAGGTCTCGCTATGGTGCGGGGAGCATTGATTTCAGAGTGGCCCCAGCCCTGGTAATACTTAATGCTGGGGGTCGGGGGGAGGGTCTAGGAAGGCCAGGACTGAGAAGAGCTTAATAGAGGTGCAGATGGTAGAATGCTGGCCTGTCTTTTAGGAGGCTGGTTATTGGGCAGTTATGGCAGAAGAGTGGGGAATAGAGTCCCTGGCACACGTGGGGGCACATACCCAGTAAAATACTAGTGGCGGCAGCAGCAGCGCTACTAATAGGTGTAGTAATAATAATAGTAAATACTTGAAATATATTAGGTGCCAGGAACTGCTGCAAGCACTTTATATATAATATTACTTTGGCCGACTCAGAGAGGTAGAGAATATTCTTACACCCCCACTTTTGAGAAGAGGACACTAAGTGCAAAGTAGTTACCTAGTGTGTGCCCAGGGTCACACACAGCCTACGTGGCCTGAGATCCAGGCTCAGGTGCTCTGACTTAGGGCTTTACTGGCTCTAGACTGATAAGCTAATAGCAAGGCGCGTTTTGAGAACTTTGTCTTCAGGGTCTCAGGCTCATGTTTCTTGAACTTGGCCTAGGAACAGTAAGTCAGATGCTAAGAGCTCCCTAGAGAGTGGAACATGGCTGTGGAAAGTCAGTTGGGGTTTGTAAATTAGGGTAGAGTCCAGGCTACCATGTCCCCTGGGGACAGAAAGTCCCATGAGATGCTGCAGAGTGGCTGGGGCACTGGCCAGGTGAGAGCAACCTGGTGGGTGCAGATGGCCCAGGAGCCTTTTAGAAAGCTGTCTCCCATTCCTCACCACGCGGGTGAGGTATGGCTGTCTTGCTGATCCAAGTTCTTAAATGTCTTTGCTGTTTTTTTGTTAGATACAGTCTCACTCTATTGCCCTGGCTAGACTGCTGTGGTGTCAGCCTAGCCCACAGCAACCTCAAACTCTTGGGCTCGAGCGATCCTTCTGCCTCAGCCTCCCAAGTAGCTGGGACTACAGACATGCGCCACCATGCCCGGCTAATTTTTTCTACATATATTTTTAGTTGTCTGACTAATTTCTTTCTATTTTTAGTAGAGACGGGGTATCGATCTTGTTCAGGCTGGTCTTGAACTCCTGACCTTGAGCGATCCTCCGGCAGTGCTAGGATTACAGGCGTTGAGCCACCATGCCTGGCCCACATCCTTGCTATTAAGATGCTGTTCCAAGGCTGGGCGCAGTGGCTCACGCCTGTAATCCTAGCTCTCTGGGAGGCCGAGGCGGGCGGATCGTTTGAGCTCAGGAGTTCGAAACCAACCTGAGCAAGAGCCGAGATCCCGTCTCTACTATAAATAGAAATTAATTGGCTGACTAATATATATATATATATATATATATATATATATATAAAATTAGCCGGGCATGGTGGCGCATGCCTGTAGTCCCAGCTACTCGGGAGGCTGAGGCAGAAGGATCGCTTGAGCCCAGGAGTTTGAGGTTGCTGTGAGCCAGGCTGATGCCACGGCACTCACTCTAGCCTGGGCAACAAAGCAAGACTCTCTCTCTCAAAAAAAAGAAGATGCCGTTCCAAATTGCCTCCTTGGGTGGACCAGGGGGCAGGTTATTGCCTTGGATGGTGAGGACATTGGGACAGTACCCTGGGCAGAGGTTGAGCTCTGTGTTTTTGCTTATGGAGAATGCCCGGTTTCCTGCTTAGCTGTCACGTCTCTGTACTTTGAAAGGCCTGAATCGTGGAGTGGGTGTGCATTTGCTCAAGGGTGATTACCCCTGGTCAGTCACCAGTGTTGGGGCAGCCCTTGTGCCTGAACACACCTCCCCTTTGCAGGCAGGACACCAGGTCTCGGGTATCAGGGCAGCAGCTCAGTGGGACCCCGCGCAGTGCTGGTGGCAGGTCCATCTGATGCTCAGTGAAGCCTGCATTTTTTCCCAGAAAGTGCTTGCTTTTTGGTGCTGTGTTCAGGCCAGTATCTTGGTGATTTTTGGTGTAAAATTAGACAGTGGCTGATTATTCTCTAGGTGACCATGGTGACTATTGCATGATGTTCATTTTAACTTTGTGTCTTTCACGTAATAACTGGTAGAATTTTAGTTCTGACATAGTGAAATTTGGGGAGCAAAGGATCATCCCAGGTCAACTAAAGGTAAACCTTGAATTGATTGATTGATTGATTGATTGATTTTTTTTTTTTCTCGCACTGAAGCCTGCATTCCAATACAAACTCTCTTATTTTCCTAGACTTGCCTGTTGACATTCTGCTCTTTTGGAGAAGTTAGAGACAAATAACTTGTTACAGTGAGGCTAGTGAGTGTCTCTTAGATTTCAAAAGTCATTTCAGGTGCTGTTTTGGGTTTCCAACCATCAATGCTAGTTATTAAGTTAGAATGAATGTTAGTTTCATATTTGATGTTATGAAGCGGCTTTTCATTTGTGTTCTTGTATCTATGCTTCTCGTTGGTCTTCATATTTTAGATAGTGGAGATCTAAACTCAACGTATACTTTTCTAAAAAGTAGACGTATTTCCACGTGACCGTCCCACCCTTTTTAATTCCTCTAGTGTACACCTGCGGAAGTTTATCCACGAGTCTTCAGCCATAGACTAGCAGGGCCTTCCCCTGGTACTAGGGGTGGCACTGGCAGGAAGGGGCAGGATGACACCAGTTCGAGGGAGGCTGTGAGATTGGGATTTCAAAGTCATACAAACCTCTGTCCTGTGGGAATTGAGGAATGGTTGCAATGCTCTGAAAAACAAGTGCTAGTCTAACGGTGAACACGGCGCTCTTGCAGGCAAATGCTAGGACACAGCAGCCTGAGAGTTCCCAGCACGCTCGTCCCCTGTGTGCACCTCCATGGAGACTGTGATGGGACTAAAGCAAGTCTCCGCCTGCCTAGAACCCTTGGGGCGACCAGGAGGAGCTTGGGAAGCCTCTGCCTGGGCCAGACCATGACACAGGCTGCTTCTCTGCCTCATCCCTAAGCTTTCTTGTTTGAGACATGAGGTGATTGTTTAAAATAACTCCAGTTGTGCATTTCTTTTTTTAGAAGACATGGTTTTATTTTTTTATTTATTTTACCTTTTTTTTTGAGACAGAGTCTCAAAAAAAAAATTAGTTGGCCAATTAATTTGTTTCTATTTATAGTAGAGACAGGGTCTCGCTCTTGCTCAGGCTGGTTTCGAACTCCTGAGCTCAAACGATCTGCCCGCCTCGGCCTCCCAGAGTGCTAGGATTACAGGCGTGAGCCACCGCGCCTGGCCTTGGTTTTATTTTTATTTATTTATTTATTTGAGACAGAGTGTCACTCTGTTGCCCGGGCTAGAGTGCCGTGGCATTGGCCTAGCTCACAGCAACCTCAAACTCTTGGGCTCAAGCAATCCTACTGCCTCAGCCTACCGAGTAGCTGGGACTACAGGCATGCACCACCATGTCCAGCTGACTTTTTCTATATATATTAGTTGGCCAATTAATTTCTTTCTATTTATAGTAGAGACAGGTCTCACTCTTGCTCAGGCTGGTTTCAAACTCCTGACCTCGAGCCATCTGCCCGCCTCGGCACTCCCAGAGTGCTGGGATTACATGCGTGAGCCACCGTGCCCGGCCCAGTGGGAGTCTTACTGAGGTTGGGTCCTGAGTCTTTTGCACGTACTCGAGTAGTCTTGTCTGGTTTTCTCTTGTGACAAGATGTTTTGGGCTCATCATGAACAGTTTCTGCCCCAGCAGCTGTGGAATCAGCCATTTCTCCAAGCAACCCTGACTCTTTTTGGTGGGAAATGCCATCTAGCTACTGTCGTCTGGGCACCAGAGGTGCTCATTGCTGCTGGACGGGTTTTTGGCTTTTTTATTGGACATAGCTCGAGAATATAGTATATTTAAAGGTAAACATATCCTGAGTTTATGTGGAGGTTTCTAAACCAGATTCATGACACTAGTGTTTTTTACTTAATCCCTCTACTCCTACATCTGTATCTCTTCTCCCTCATGTGTTCTTTTCTCCCATGCCTAATCCCAGTTCTCAATTACATCAACAAAATTATTCATTTGTTTTATCTCACTATCACCCATAATATGTCATAGCACTTATCAACACTGTCACCCATAATATGACTTCTGAAAATAATTGGAGATTTTTATTTTTTGAAGTTCATATTGTTGTTAGGGCAGATGCATGCCACAGGGAATGCATTTTCAAAGTATTTTGTTCAAAACCGCTTTCCATAGTTCCTTTTTTTGTGTGGTTATACCAACAACTGGATGGGCATATGTTTAGGTACAATTGCTTCACTTTACAAGTTCTAGGAATTGCTTTTTAAAAATTTCATTATGTCTTGGCTGGGCGCGGTGGCTCACGCCTGTAACCCTAGCTATCTGGGAGGCCGAGGCGGGCGGATCGTTTGAGCTCAGGAGTTAGAGACCAACCTGAGCAAGAGCGAGACCCCCATCTCTACTAAAAATAGAAAGAAATTAATTGGCCGACTAATATATATATATATATAAAATTTGCTGGGCATGGTGATGCATGCCTGTAGTCCCAGCTACTCGGGAGGCTGAGGCAAGAGGATTGCTTGAGCCCAGGAGTTTGAGGTTGCTGTGAGCTAGGCTGACGCAACGGCACTCACTCTAGCCTGGGCAACAAAGTGAGACTCTGTCTCAAAAAAAAAAAATCTAGGAGCATTATCATTAATATCCATTATTTCCACTTCTATAGGGTAAAGATACATTTCATCTTCCCACAGATGTAACTGTTTTTCTTATCTTTGGATCGTTAACTCTAGGTTTGTCACCTGTTCCCTCAATCCTAAACCTTACTAACTCCTTATTCACTTTCCCCATATGCTCACTTCTGCTTATATTTTTCACATAGTCATGTTTTCCTTTGATAGCTTGTTTCTATTTCCTGTGTTATCTTTCCTTCTCACTCATCAGGGATAGTGGACTTGGGCAAGGAGTGTCTCTAGTGTCTGCGGGGACACGGTGGAGGCCCGATGCCCACCAGGGACAATTTAGTGTAGAGCCACGGAATATGTTACTCTGAGAAGCAAGGATGGGGTTCAGATGTCATGAGGCTGAGTACCAAATACTCCATTGGGCAATGTCTACCTTCAAATACTCTAAGGCTCTGGTAGAACCTTCAACTGTGGCCATGGTGGTGAATCATATTGGACTCTTAAAAAATCCCTTGTGGTCTCACAGTGGAGGAGCATTCTTGGGAAGGAGCAGGGACCGGATTCTCAGTGGGTTTGGGGAAAGACTCTTCACCAAGTCATAGGTTGGTTGGTAACCAGGATGCAGGATTTATGTGAGCGACACTTGACCTTGTTACTGTTATCCAGAAAGTTCAATTCAAATTTAGTTATAAGTTTGATAATGAGTATTTTCCTTGTTGTTTCATTTCTTAATTAGTTGAGGGTTAGGATCAGACAGGGGCGCAGGAAGCCGTAGGCCCCAAACCGGCATCACTCATGGATGAGCCCCTTTGTTGGATTGGATTATTGAATGCCATCTCTCAGCAGGAGAGTTTAGTCAATTAGGTGATAGTGACATGCCTTCATTTTACACTTTTTTTTTGCTGGATTGGCGGGGAGTGAGAGGGCATCACGCTTACTTTCTGTTTGGATCACACCCCTCTGGAATGAAGAGCTGTGAAATAGGCAACAGCGACTCCAGAGACCACGAGAAGTTTCGGGAAAGTTTGGGAGGGCGGGAGTTACTGCTGGGCTGCTGGCTGATCGCCCAGGTGTGCGTGCTGCTGGCCTGGGCTGCCCTTGTGCCCGGTGTGACATTCCTGCTTCTCTGTGTAAACCTCCAGGTTTTCATCTCAGTAACTCTAAACAGTCTGTGTTGCCACCCAGGGTAGTAGGGCCCTTCCATGAACTCTTAAAACCTCTTGGGATGACTGATTGGGCATGCTGCAGATGTAACAGCAAGCCTCTGCATTCTTGATATCTGATCACCTTACTCATGATTCTTCAACTAAATAGTAGTTTCTTCTGTATAGTGGGTGAAAACTTCCATGACTTCAGAGAATACAGTGTGGTTGGTGAAGTCTGAGAGTGTTCATGTGTGTGTGTGTACAGCAGGAAAGGAGTGTTGGGATTGAATGTCAAGACCCATCTGAAGGACAGAGATGTCATTTGTAAATATCCTGATTGGGCACTAATTGGATGGGAAGAGAATGTGTGTGTATTTTGTTTCATTTTGGTTTTCATTGATTCTCCCTACCTTTCCCTCACTTCAAATAGAAAATGGCTGTCAGTAGCAAATCTGTCAGGTGCTTACCCTGTCTTTGTTAATAAAGGGCGATTGCTTTAAAAGGAAAAGCTTATTTCAAAGCCGATTTCTTGAAAGATTTCCAACCTTTGGGCATTTTGTCTTTTGAGAAGGCAGGAGGAAACGATGTTGTGGACCTGTGTGTTTACTTGGGGTGACTTGGATTTGCAGTGAGTGTTTGGTTTTCTTTAATGGGGGAGGAGGGTCCCTTACAAGGGGTTCCTAGAGTGAGGAAGTAGGTTTTGGGGTGGAGTGGCCATTTGGCAGGCAGAGGCACGTGAGCAAGTAGAAAAATGACCTCTGGGCTCTTTTGCACCACGGCTTGAGCAGTGTTTTGCTGCTTGTTTGCCTCCAGTCTTGGGGGAAAAAATTGTTTTCCTTATGTCTTATTCAGAAGGTAAGCTCCAGTGCCTCCCAGCTCATTGGTGTGAAATTGTAATTTTTGCTCTGGGGAATAGACGATTATTAATATTGCTTCAAAATCAGAACCTCTAATGTGCGGCTGATAGAGAACCCCTGATGACATTGTCTTTTAGCACAACTTCTGCTTCTGTTGGAGCCATGTCCCCTGTGGCCAAGAGCCCGGGGATTCCTTTTTAAATATTCCAACAGAAGCTGGACTTGGTTCTCTTGGATCTACTGACATGTAGAGTTTGGAATGGGAAAGATGGGAGAATTCTCTTTTCTCATCTGTGTCTTTGTGCCAATATCTCAGTTCATAAAGTCTCTTAAAGCAAAAGGAAATGGCAAGAATGTGTCTCCCTGAAATGAGCTTTCTTAACCTTTATTTGGGCTGGGATGTCAGGAGTACAGAGGACATGGGCAGGATAAAGCTGGGCTGTCCATCTGTAAGCAAATTCCTTGTCCCTGTTGGACTACTTTTTTTCCTTTATTCTCTGAAGGCCAAGACTTATTTGGTAGTTTGCCAAGTGTATTTTAAAGTACTATTTGTAACATTTATTGAGCATTCACAGTGTTACCAAGCACAATGTGGTAAAGCTTTAATTATCTTTGAACCTGTAATTTTCACTTCAGATTAAAACTATTATCTGCTTGTCTTGAAGAAAGTAGTTCTGGTTTTTCCCTTAGATTAGTGATGAATATCACACTTTATCAAAATGCCTTTTTGACATGCTAACAAAAGTTTGTGCTAAAAGAATTGGTATGGTTTGTATATCTAAGGCTTTTTTTTTCCTTCTTCTTCTTCTTCTAGGAAGGCACCAAAGTTATTCAGCCTATATTTTTGGGAAAAATTATTAATTATTTTGAAAATGATCCCACGGATCCTGTGGCTTTGCACACAGCTTATGCCTATGCCACGGTGCTGACCGTCTCCACGCTGTTTTTGGCCATACTGCACCACTTATATTTTTATCACGTTCAGTGTGCTGGGATGAGGTTAAGAGTAGCCATGTGCCATATGATTTATCAGAAGGTAAGTGACATTCAGCATTAAACGTGTCCCTCACCTGAAGCATCAGCAGCATTTTGGGAAAGTTTTATGTAAATTAAAAATTGTATAAATAGAATCATTTAAACCTTACTAAAGAAGCTTGCTATTTGCAGCAGCCTAATTTTTTTTTTTTATGTAAACTTTCTCAATAAGAATTTATGCCAAATACCACTGTCTTTGTATACTAAACCTAATAACAGTTGCTTTTAATAGTAATTTTTTTTTTTTTTTTGAGACAGAGTCTTGCTTTGTTGCCCAGGCTAGAGTGAGTACCGTGGCGTCAGCCTACCTCACAGCAACCTCAAACTCCTGGGCTCAAGCAATCCTCCTACCTCAGCCTCCCGAGTAGCTGGGACTACAGGCATGCGCCGCCACCATGCCCGGATAATTTTTGCTATTTATATTAGTTGGCCAATTAATTTCTTTCTATTTATAGTAGAGATGGGGTCTCGCTCTTGCTCAGGCTGGTTTTGAACTCCTGACCTCGAGCAATCCATCCGCCTTGGCCTCCCAGAGTGCTGGGATTACAGGCGTGAGCCACCGCGCCCGGCCTTTTAATGGTAATTCAAGAAGATAGTTGGATGTTTGGGATACCACTTTAAATTTTAGATTGTTTTAGTAATTTTGGAGAGAACTCAGTTTTTCTATTTTATATTGCTTTTCAAGCTAAGTTTTGGTATTAGTTCCCTTATATAAAATGATGTAGTATTTGCACGTTACGTACATTCATTCTCCTGTATACTTTAAATCATCTCTCGATTACTTATAATACCTGATACAATGTAAATGCTGTGTGAATAGTTTTATTATTATATTGTATTGTTTTGACATATTGTATTGTATTGTATTGAATAATCACAAGAAAAAAAAATCTGCACATGTTCAGTTCAGTCACAACCACCATTTTTTTTTTTAAACCAAATTATTTGCAACCGAAGTTGGTTTAATCTGGGGATGTGGAACCCACAGACATGGGGGGCTGACCATATTTTCTTTTCCTTCACTGCACTTTCAGTAAGATCTGATTTGATGTGTTCAGTGCTTTTTGTATTAAAAAAGGCCCTCAAGTCGTACCATAGTTTGCTCTGGTCTTAACTGTTACAAGGAGTGGGACTTCAGATGTGTAGCCAGTGTGAGGAACTGAAGAACTCTTTAGTAACAGCATCCTGGATATCTCTTTGCCCCAGCCTTTAGCTTTTTCTTTTTTCTTTTTTTTTTTTTTTTTAAATCCTCATTTAAAGATAAAAACCAATAACATTGCTACTTATCTAGAACTTCTGTTTACTGTAAGTTTTTGTCAAAATGCAACATGCCCTCTCCTAGTCTTCCATTGAGCAGAGTCTTATTAATCTTGCAATTATGTGAATCCCAGAGGCTTAGCGTCATATTGTCTATGGTGGGTTACAGCAAATATGCCCAGTTTCCTTGTCTGTGACCTGAAATGGTAACAGTGACTTGTATGATCTAGTCAGCAGGTCTCCTTCTCCTCCTCCCTTCCCCATTTCCTCCTCCTCCTGTTTCTTCCTTTCTCCCTTTTCCTTCCTTTCCACCTCCGCCTCCTCCTTCTCTTTGTTATTCTCCTGCACTCTCTTCTACAATTTAGGAAGAAGAGCCCTCAGGTGTCTCTATAAATTAGCTTTTTATCTTTTCCAGACCATGCTTAGTGACAGTAAAGACATAGGAAATTTCACTAACACTCCACCATGAAAACCTTAAACATGGAAGCCAGGTTTGAGGTGCTGGTTCCATAAAACAAAGCTCTTTGCGCAAGTGAGTTATCGTTCACCTGTTTTTTCTTCCTCTTTTCTGCTAACGCTTTGGAAAGTAACCTTTGGGAAATCTGATCTAACTCAGCAAATTTGCTTACCTGTGTGTAAACATCTCCCAAAGGTATTAATTTGCCAGCTTGATTATCTTAGAAGAATTGTCTTTTTTTTTTTTCCCCAAGAATTGCTTGGTTTAAACCGTCGACTTAACTTGAAATTCCAGAAACGTGGGAAAGATGAATGTCCTCAAGCAGTGCCTTGTGTCTGGAAGGGCAGGAGCTGGCATTGAAGCCAGGTGCTCTCAGTTTCTGCTCAGCCTCCACCTGCTGATCCCTGGTCCTGGCAGAAGTCAGGTTGGGTGTCACAAATGGACCGACTGCTGAACCCATCACCATAGGTTGTGGGATTGAGTGATCTTGTTGGATGTGTTGTATATAAAAATGACTTGTCATTTATTCAGCTTTTTAGGACTTTGGTGAAAGTGCTTTTGGCTTTTTCACCATTGATTTATTGTGATAAAATATATACACCATAAAATTTACCTTTTTAACACTTTTTAAGTGTACAACAGTCCAGTGGCATTAAGGCCATTCACATTGCTGTGCTACCACCCCCACCATCTGTCTCCAGAACTTGTTCGTCTTCTTAGACTGCAACTTTGTCCTCATTCTGCACTAACTACCTCTGAATCTGTGCATCTCATATAAGTGGAATCATATAGTATTTGTCATTTTGTGTTTGGTGTATTTCATGTAGCATAAGGTCTTCAGGGTTTATCCATGTTGTGTGGCATATGTCAGAATTCAATTCCTTTTTAAGGCCGAATAATATTCCACTGTATGACTATGCTACATTTTGTTTATCCTTTCATCTGTAGGTGGACATTTGGGTTATTTTTTTCTTTTAGTTATTGTGAATAACACCACTGTGAAAATGGGTGGACGACTATCTGTTTTGAGTCTCTACTTTCAGTGCTTTTGGGTATATACCCAGAAGTAGCATTGCTGGTTTATATGGTGATCCTGTGTTTAAGTTTTTGAGAAACTACCACAGTGACTGCTATTATTTAGTTGGAGGGGGGTTTTGTAAACATAGTTTCGAGGCTCTGTAGTTGGACTGCTTTCCGATGATTCCTAGTTTGCTTCTTTCTTTGCCTTAGGCAAACTGCTCTAAGCTTAATTGTCCTCAATTGTGGAATAGTACCAACTCACATTTTTGTGGTGAGGATGAAATGAGTTAATCTGTGTAAAGCATTTAGCTAGTGTTCAAACATTTCTGTTGTTTTTGTTATTGGCACTCAATCACAGAACATTTTTATATACTTAATTAGATGAAAAGCATGGACTCTGAGTGGTGTACAAGTGTATAAACTTAGTGACAGGATAGGATCCCACTGATTGGAGATGTACAGGGAAGGTATTCTATTTTTTTTCTTTTTTTTTTTTTCTTCTTTAAGGCTGGTCAAGTGAAACAGCGAGAGTGAGAAGGAACAAAGGGATCTGTAACTGATTGTGATCAATTAGTTGGTAACACCACTGCACTCAGAGAACCAACCACAGGGAGGATATTCTAGACAGAACATGCTTGAACAGTGTCGACATGGGAAAGTGGACGGGGATTTGGGGAATGGCAGCAGCACAGTTTGGTGTAAGAATTTAGGAGAGCAGTAGGCGGTAAATGTAGAAAGGCACACTGGGCCCAGATGATGGAGAACCTTGATCATGAGCTTAAGGTACTTGGGGTTTATTTACTTGGCAAGGACAAAGAGCCACTGGAAGCTTTTGGATAAGGAAGTTAATGATCAAGGTAGTGATTTAGGAAAAGGCATCCACTGGTGGCTTGATGTATATGGCTCCTCATGTGATTGGGGCTTACATGGTGATAATGACCTTAGAATTGGAAAGCAGAAGTCAGATCTGGGAGTTGCAGTCTGAGTATCCTAAGGGCCATTCGTTCATCTACTCATTTTTACCATTTTGCCCATTTGGTGAAGCATTTGGTTACGAGACTCAGAGTTGTAGGTCATTGTAAGAAAATATTAATTATTTGATCTAATACAGATAAATCGATCTAGTAAACTAATATGTAGAAATAAAAGTTTAAAAAATTAGCAAAATTAATTAGCATGAAAACTTTTAAATATATTGTAACATTCATGACGGATGGAGAAAGGAAGAGTAGAAAGGAACCTACCCTAAGATGTTAAAAGGGGGAAGAGTAATAGTTAGGAAATCGTAGTTCTGAGAGATATCCACAAATCTGGTCAGTATGGAAATTTGGGCAGATCTTTAGGCATTGCTATTTTTGTGTAATATTCTTCTTCTAAGTGCAACCTTTGTGGAAAAGAATTTGGAGATACCTCAAACAACTAGAAATAGAAATACCATTCGACCCAGCAATAGTATTGTTGGGTATCTACCCAAATGAACATAAGTCATTCTGTTATAAAGACATCTGCACCCGAATGTTTATGGCAGCACAATTCACTATTGCACAGTCATGGAAACTACCCAAGTGCTCATCAATTCATGAGTGGATAACTAAAATGTGGTATATGCTCACAATGGAATATTACCCAATCCTAAGAAACTATAGTGAGCTAGCACCATTTATGCTATCCTGGATCAAGCTTAAGCCTATAAGACAAAGTGAGACGACATGGCAAATGGGCTACACATCTACTCGCCATCAAATTGGTACTGACAGCCTAAAACGTTTTATGGGCTAAAAAAATGATAGTGTTCAACAGGGATTTGGGGGGTGGAGACCCACATCTTAAGGATGTGGTGAGCATTGTGGTGGGGGAAGGGATTACCTCTATCCCTTTTTAGGGAGAGGCAAAGATACACATTGTAACCAAAATGTCTAAAAAAAAAAATCTGTTATTGGCAGGTGGACAGGTGGAAGGGGGAGGAGGGGAAGGGTATGCACTTACATGGTGGGTGCAGGGCGCACCACTTGGAGGCTGGGCACTCTTGAAGCTCTGGCATAGCGGGGTTTTGGGGGGGGGTCAGGGGCGAGATATGTAACCCTAACAATATTTGTACCCATATAATATGAGGTAATAAAAAAAAATAAATTAAAAAAATATTATTCTTCTAAAATTTTGGAAGTATCCCAAACTCCATTATTCTAAAAGGGCAAATATTATTTTTGCAGATTCTCCTACAATCTCTGCCCAAACATATATTTTATGTAGTTCCAATCTTACTGTGT